GAAAACCCTACAGGGCCCTTTAAGGGGTGTTCACACACACACACACCCCACACCCCCTCTGCAGCAGAGGCCGGTTTTGAACCGCCTTTACCCCAAAAAAAGGAGACTCGGGAGGCTGGAGAGAAGGGAGGCGAGGAGGTTTCCAAAAGTTGTGTGTGTGAGAGAGAGAGAGAGAGACCTCCTCTGAGGGGGGGGGTTGTATGTGTGTGTCCCTCTGAAATCCCCCAGGGAAGTGGGTCAGGTGTGTGTGTGTGTTTGGGGGGGAGGAAGGCCTCCCCCTTCTAGGGCAACCCTGAGCCATGGCCACCCGGCGTTTAACAGACGCGTTCTTGTTGTTGCGGAACAACGCCATCCAAAGCCGGCAGCTGCTGGCGGAGCAAGTGAGTAGTTACAGCAAATCCAGCCCTCTGACTTCACGTAGCATGGCTGCTGCGGTGAGTCTCCCTTCGTCCTACTGTCCTCCCACACACCTCTCGCTGTTTTAGGAGCTTCCAATGCAGCAAGCATGCCTCTTTATTATTATTATTATTTATATTTTTTTCCCCAGGGCTGCTTCCTGCTTCCCATCCTCACCTCTTCCATTCTCCTCCATAAAGAAGGGGTTGTCTTCTCCTTTCTCGGTGGGGTTTTAGACACATGGTAGGGCATTCCGCCGAATCTGCTCCAAAACCATGCATTAAAAAGTGCCTCTAGTGGGCATCCTTCGCATCTCCATTTTTTTTAGGTGCGGGGGGGGGGAAGGGGTCTTTGGCTTCCATCAATTCTACCTACTTTGGTGCCTCGCTAGACAGTTACCCCGCATGACAGTTTTTTCACTAGACATTGACTTTTTGCGATCGCTATAGCGATTTGCAAAACAGTGATTCCTATCGGGGAATTTTGCTGGACAGTGTTTGGTCCCTGCTTCGCAAACTGAATTTTGCTAGATGACGATTTTGACAGCTCCCTCCGTGCTCGCAAAACAGGTGTTTTCGGGACCTAAGCTTCGCAAGACAGCTATTTAAACAGCTGATCGGCGGTTTGCAAAGCGGGTTTCCTATGGCCAATCTTTGCTAGACAACGATGATTCTTTCCCATTGGAATGCATTAAACAGGTTTCAGTGCATTCCAACAGGGAAATGCTTTTTACTAGATAGACGATGATTTCGCTAAACAGCGATTTCAGTGGAACGGATTATCATCGTCTAGTGAGGCACCATTGTTCTTACTTCCCAGTGAGAAAGGATTGTGGGAGTTGTAATCCAAAACCTCGGAGAGTCAGAGGCGGCCCACCCACCATAGAGCTACATTTCTAATGGTGGATCATTGCATATCTGGAAGTCAACCTCCCCGTGTCTGTACCAACAGGAAGATGGAGCTTCTCAGCTTCCTAGTAGGTGTATCTGATCATAGTGTATGTAGATAAATTCTGAAGAACAACAGTTTGTGGCTGTTCCTCCCACCCCCGCAAAGCCCTCCCTAAATGGAGTTGTTTGTGATTTAATCTGGTCTAAAGAAATAAACAAACAGTTAATTCAGTGCCAGTTGAACATTGTGCTGCCCTGCACTTCCTCATAATGTGTCCGCTACCACTTTTGATTTGCTGAATGGACTCTTTATGTCACTCTTCTAAGTTTACTCCAAGTAAAACTTATTCGTCTCGAAGGTGCCCCAAAACCCTGGTTGTTTCTGCTAAAATGGAAATTATCACTCTATGCTTTCACCAACCCAGCATTTGTTTTTGTTATTGTCTTTAGTTTTTCCTTTCCCACTTTTGTATTACCTTTCATTTTGCATTTCACGATCAGGGGTCAGGTGGAGGAAACCATTCTGCAGGTCACAATTACATTTTTGGAGTCAGAATAAAAAAATTTAGACACCACCCTAGTACTGAACATTTAGAGTGGTGTGTATTTCAGACTTCTAGGTATGTGGAAGGTAACCAGCCCTCTTAGAAGCTCATTCCTCAGCATAATTGCTCTTTCTGTTTGTAACAAGCGCCTAACTCTTCCTATTCATTTTGCTGCTACTTCTATTAAAAGTGTTTCCTCATTATATCCTTTAATCTTGATAATGGTGCAGTTTTCATTGTTTATTTTGTATGCTGTACACTGCCCAGAGTAGTCGAACGACTAGATGGGCGGGATATAAATATAAAAATAAAATAAATAATAAATAAAATAAATATCAATATCACTGCAATAAGACATTAAATGGTTGCTTTCCTCTCCAAATGTATTCTCCTTTAGTGCAAAATAAGCTGCTCTTCACACTAATCTCTGTTTGGGGGCCAATGCAAACAGTGAAATCTTACTGCATTCTGTTTTGTTGTATATACATGTTCAATGTCCAGATACTGTTTTTGTACTTCCACTGCATTCACCCTGAAAACAAATGGATGAGAAACTGTATGTTAATACATAATTACCTCAGGTGCAAATTTGAGATGAGAATATGACCTCCTGGCACTTCAGGTCTGTATTTTTGGTGGCCTAGAGAAACCTGTAACCTTCCATCATAAAGGTATTTTACAGGAAGATACCCAGCCACCAGTTAGGCAGGCCAGTGTGGCAGCTAATACTATTTAATTGGAAGTGCAGTTCGATTATACTCACCAGATCAGGATTTTTCTGCTGAGGGCTGTGTTAACCTATTAAAGGCTTTAAATCTGGAGTGGATGGAATAGGGGCAACTGAAGTATTAGGGGCAAATGAGGCACTGAACCATTTCAGGTTTGGGCTACCCTCTCTACCATCCCTGTGAGTGTGAATGTGTGCCTGCCTGCATCTGTGTTTGTCCCCGGAACTGCGTGCCACCCACCACTCTGGCCACCTTCAGCTGCTGTGCTTTCCACTCCACCGATTGCAGAGAGCACCCCCTGCCACTTGGATAAGCCGGTAGCCCATTGTGGATGTTGCAAGAAGAAACGTGAATTTGCCCACTTTCTTTCCTTCCCTCCCTCCACCCCCTTTCTCTCCCTCTCTACCCAGTAAGCTGTAACAGAAGGAGTACTGTATGTTATTCTTGTAGATGCAGATGGTTTTTGTAGTCATGCCAAAGGTCCCCAGATTGTCAAGTGAAAGATGTAGCCGTTGGGCTGTCGGGCTTGCCTTGTTCTTACATTAGCAACTGGGTTGCAGGGATACTTGTTTTCATCATTTGTTTGTTTGTTTGTTTGTTTGTTTATACCCTGCTTTTCTCCTTAACAAGGACCCAAAGTGGCTGACATTGTTGAATGACAATATTTAAACCTAGAAACAATGATACAAATACTAGAAAGGATCAAACAAATAGCACTCCAAGAAATGGTAAATAAAAGCAATACTAAAAACACGGGCAAAGCAGTAAGGTACAACCATCCTTTTAAAAGCCCCCTCTCAGGTAGCCAGTCAACTGAGGGAAAGCTTGCCTGAAGAGAAAGGTCTTTGCCTGCTTGTGGAGATGGGGCCAGCCTGGCCTCCAGTGGGAGGGAGTTCCAGAGTCTAAAGGAGCAGCCACAGAGAAGGCCCTGTCCTGTGTCCCCACCAAATGCACATCTGTGAGGGGTGGGTGGGACTGAGAGAAATCCTGATGATCTTAAGACCTGAACAGGCTCATAATGGGTTATATTATATAGGTCAGGAGTGGTGTCTGGAATGTGGGAGGTCTTCCGTTAGGAAAGAGAACGGTGGTCCCTTGAGTTTTGTACAAGCCTCCCTTACCTAAATCTTGATGATCCAGGATGTTTGCATGAAGAAAATATTTTCCAGATTTATAGAAAGGAAAAATTTTGTGGTTTTTTTTGGAAAGTTCATTTAAATCATGTTATAGTACATTAAAAGGAATTAAAAACCAAAGTGCTGTAACTTAGGTGTTCCTAAACATTTTCAACACCCCATAATTTTAGGGTTTCTGTTTGATTCTCCCCCACCCCACCTGAAGGAAGATTTTCACCCCTTGCAGTACACTCTTCCTATTTAGCCACTCAATGCAATTTCACCTCCTACCTGATCATGTTTTATGCCTCTAAGGCTACCTATGCAATGAGAAAACACAGGTGCATAATAAGGTTGCAGGCAATTATTCAAATTAAGAATTATAGTGAGCCAGTAAAAATGTGCGTTCCTCAGCTTAAGGGAACACTCTTGTGCTGACAGGTCAGAAAAAGGAAAGATGGTTTTATTTCTTTGCTAAAAGGAGAAGGAAAACTTGTGCACCTCCCAGTAGAAACCAGTGCATCGTACCAAATAGCCCCCGTCCATATGGCTGAGTACTTAACCATAAATAATCCTGGAGTTTAGCCCTGAGATACTCTTAGATGTTCATAAGTGAGCCAAAGTACTCCTTCAGGTACTCTGAATGCCAGCAGTTCAAGCAGACCTTAGAATTAATTAGTTACATGTACAGTAATTGGTTATGTGATGATTAGGTACCCCGTTCTCCCAGATAGATTTAACAAATTAATGTTGGCAGTCACTATCAAAGCCTTGAAATTACTTATTAAATTTTAGTAGTCATGTGTTAATTTGTTTCCCCTTTTCTCCACTGAGACGAAAAGTTAATTTGCTGGCTCAGAATGCTCACTGTACCTATGGTGCTGTGAATTAGCGGTTTGAGTTCATTATTCATTACAGGATGTGATCTCAAGAGGAGGAGGATTGAAGAGCAGTGCTGAGGGTATTAGAAATTGGAGATGGTAGGGATTTTGCTTGAGACTTCTGTGGGTAATCATATTCTAACACGGACTTTTGCTGGCCACACTTCTTGATTCAAAATGACTGAGGAGACAAAGTGCAATTATTCAGCAGTGTAGAAAAATGTGAAATGTTTCGTATGCTCAGAAGCACTCCGGAATTTTCTGGTTAAGAATTTTTCATCCTTGATTTTACCAAATAATCTTTATTGCTTTTATTGCTGCGCTTAATTAGGAGGCAATAGTAACAACGGCATATGCCTAATTTGTAAATTCCAGGGCTTTTTTTCATACAAAATTAATGATGTAATTAATAAATTGATTGAAGAGAACATCAGTTTCAATACTACTCTTCCCAATATTAAAAAGAAATTAATTTGCTAATTTCTAACAGTATTAATGAATTAATTATGAAAAGCTAGTGTTATAAGCAGGGACATGGTGATGCTGCATGTTAAACCACAGAAGCCTCTGTGCTGCAAGGTCAGAAGACCAGCAGTTGTAAGATTGAATCCATGCGATGGAGGGAGCTCCTGTCACTTGTCCCAGCTCCTGCCAACGTAGCAGTTCGAAAGCATGTAAACACGCGAGTAGATAAATAGGTACCACATCAGTGGGAAGGTCACGACGTTCCATGTCTAGTCGCGCTGGCCACGTGAGCACTGAAACTGTCTTCAGACAAACGCTGGCTCTACCGCTTGGAAACAGGGAGGAGCACCGCCCCCTAGGGTCAGACATGACTGGACTAAATGTTAAGGGGAATCTTTACCTTTACCTTTAGTGTTATAAGCTCTTCAACTTTGGGCTTTAAATGTCATAGCTAGCTTTTGAACTGATTTTTAGAATAAGCCAGGGACCCATGCAGATAATGAAGTTTTGGAGTGATGTACACTAATAGCTGGATCTTGATTCTGGTGAAGATGTATCTGAGAACATCAGGTCCCACTGCCTTAACGCTCAGTTCAGCTCAGCTTTTCCAACCATTCCCTTCTTTTTCTCTCACAAGCTTTCTCAAGCTGCCTTCTTCGTGTTCTGTTTTGGAAGGCCTTATCTCTAAGTAAGGATGCAGTTCATTTCTACTCCAGACTCAGAGAGATCCAGAATCCACAGAAAATATATACAGTGGTGCCTCGCTTAACGAGCGCACCGTTTAACAATGAATCCGCATGGCGATGCAGATTTTGCGATCGCATACCGATGTTTAGATAGGGCAAAAATCACTTTGTGATGATCGGTAAGCGTTTCGCTTACCGATCTTTGCATTGCGATTTTTTAACAGCTGGTTGGTGGTTCCAAAATGGCTGCCAGATGCCCAAAATGGCCGTGCACAGCGTTTTCGCGCCCTGCCCTCGCTTACTGAGGGCGTGAAAATGGCGGCCGGATGGGGAAACTTCGCTGAACGGTGAGTTTTGGGCCCCAATGCGTTCCAATGGGTTTTTCCGTTCCATATAGCGATGTTTCCCCATAGCGACGGTTAATCCGGAACGGATTAACCTCGATATGCGGGGCACCACTGTATATATATATATATTAGTTCTTTAAATTCTTGCTAAGATTTAATACAGACACAGGAACAAGTGATACCTTTAATCAACCATTAAGAGTATAAATCAAAAAACAAAACAGCGAGCTTTTGACAATAAATCACCTTGATGCACAACCTTGCTTTATCATTGAAAACTTGCTACAGTATTTGATTTTTTGTTTTATTCTCTTAATGGTTGATAAAATGTATCATCTGTTTCTGCATTTGTATCTCTTCCACGACTGTGCAGCCTTTTCCTGGTTTAGATAAGATTTGGCTTTCCTTCCCGCGGCAGAAGAACTGGATTTCTGGATTTTTTTCCTGACTCCTCCCGTTTCTATTTTTATTTTTTTATTATTCTGTATTTCTTTTCTTAAAAAATTAAAAATTGGCGTCCTGGGGAGCAAAAGCATGATTGTGAGGGTGTAGGAAGAGTGGTAACCATGACCAATTTATGCTGTTTCTCAGTGTTTTTTAATTCCTCTCCTTTTCCTCGTTTATATGAGCTTATATTTCAGCTGCCCCCCCCTATTTCTTTCATCTTGGGACCTGGAGATGACTGTGGGGGCTATGTGGGGATAATTCCAGCAATCTCCCAACTCTCCCTATTTCTCCCCAACAATTTTCATTTTTAAAAATTTCGCCAAATCTGATTTACAGGATTGGCAGTAATTGGTGGGGGTGGGAGTCAGAGAGAGAGAGAGAGAGAGCTGTAAGAGATGACCCCTTGCTAAATAGAATCTTATTAGCAAAAATATTAGAATTTTTAACTGCTCATGGAATTCATATTTTTGGTGTGTATGTGTGTGTGTTTGCTGTAATATTTCCCATTTTAATGTGCTTAAAACTTAACATAAATGATAAATATAGCAATACAACATTTATAAATGTGGCAGTGTTTTTGGAAAGGTGGCCTTTTTGTTTCCCTCATGTTAGAACCCCAATTCTTTGACAGAATGATGGCTAAAACATAAGATTTTAAAAGTTTGAGGACCACGAATCCAGGTGAACCCCAGCCATGGCAAGGCGTTGCGTACCAGACCAGTTTTGATAAACAGCTATGCAGCCTCTAGTTAAAAATTTCACCAGTGTCAATACAGGGTGGCAACCCTTATTTCTAAACCATCATTTCCAAATAATAATTTAGATCCAGGAGATGATTAGTGAATGATATTTATTCCTGCATGATATTCAATGCAGGAACAAATCATTCCTACATTGAGCAGAAGGTTGGACCCAATGGCTTTGTAGGCCCTTTCCAACTCTCTCCCTCTGTCGTGAGAATGGCTGACGGTTGGATTCCAAAATATCTCTTGTATGGAGAATGAGTTCAGGGAAATCGCCCCAGAGGGAGGCCACAGCTGCAATACAAGGAGATCTGCAAGCGGGATCTGAAGGCCTTAGGAATGGACCTCAACAGATCGGAAACCTTGACCTCTGAGCGTTCAGCCTGGAGGCAGGCAGTGCATCATGGCCTCTCCCAATTTGAAGAGACCCTTGGCCAGCAGGCCGAGGCAAAGAGGCAGTCCTGAAACCAGCCAAATCAGGGAGCTGCACAGGGGACAGATTGTCTTTGTCTTCATTGTGGATGGGATGGTCACTCTCGAATTGGCCTTCTCAGCCACACTAGACGCTGTTCCAAGGCCGCTGTTCAGGGCACATTACCATAGTGTCTCAAGACTGAAGGATGCCTAAATCATCCAACTTTATGATTCTGCCTTCCCAAAAAATTATTTCAATGTCTTCTGTTCAGAAATCTATCCTGAGCTTAAATGCATTCTAAAAGAAACTGCACCAACGCAAGCCGCCACACTGAAATATTTTCATGAACACCCAACACCGTGCCTGATAACCACGTTCTTAACTGCACGGTCTAGGAATGCGCTGATGCCTCAAACTCTGAGGTTCAGTTGATCTTTTGAGATTACATAAGAATTCTGTGGTAATTATGGCTTAATGTTATGTTATTTTTTAAAAAAAAGAATCACAGTTTGCCTGGTATGTGGGGGTTTGGGTTGAATTTCCATTTGTTTGCTTTTAAGTATCTTTTAAATATGTGTACTATGTAAATGGAGTCTTCCTTTGTCGGCCAAGCAAATGGTTTGAGATGTATTGGCCAGAATCCTATTAGTGTTTGCATATCACTTTCATAGGTTGCTCTGGCTAATAGTGACTAACTGACATGGCACCAGGGCATGCATTTCAGTTGAGCAGTCAGGCACATGTCTGGGCACGTGACCTTTTCAAGCAGTTGACATTACCTGCAGGAAGTTAAGCAAACCTTGTGCAAACACCAGTTGGATTCTGGCCCTCCAGAAATGGAAAATGTGGCTTTTCATGGGACTACATGTTGGTCTGCCTAAAAGCTGATGCTGTTGTTTTTTTTTTTAAAATACCTGCAGGAAGTTAAGCAAACCTTGTGCGAACACCAGTTGGATTCTGGCCCTCCAGCAATGGAAAATGTGGCTGCTCACGGGACTATATGTTGGTCTGCCTAAAACCTGATGCTGTGTTTTTTTTTTTAAGACTGTTTTGTTTCTCTTGATAAGTTTGGCAGCATTGAAGAACCCATTTCTAGTGTTCCTTCAACTGACTGTATCCTTTCCTCTGTCCTGTTCTTTTGCTTCACTATCTTAACCTTTTGCTGTCCCTATATGGATGTGGGGATGATGGGATCAACAAACCACCTCAGGAGCTGGACGAGGTATAGTTCTGTTTACTCACTCTGCTGTTCTTTTTCTCCCAAGGGAAATGTTTTTAAAAGTTGCCTTATGTTAGTCAGATGATGAGTCCATATAGTTCAGCCTTATCCGTCATCGGTTACCGCAGGAAGAGCACAGAAAACTGCTTTGGAGGTATACCTCTGGGGATCTGAAGCGGGTTTGCACATTTTAAATCTGTTCAGCTGATCCTGGAAGCCGTGTTAGGGTGCTCTACGTCAGTGCCAAGTTGAAGGCACGTATCTATTCTTCAACGACAACAATAACAACAACAATGAATCTTTCTGGTGTAGAAATGTGCCAAGCTTTACATAGCAAAAGGCAGCCTGAACATTGGCAGTACCCATGGCAGCAGTCGATATGGTTGACAGGATGTCTCCTCTGAAGATCAGGATGGAAAATATGACAAGTAAGGAAGTGATAGCAGAAGCCCTAAGAATATTGGTCCAGGCCAGTGGTTCCCCACCTTTGGGTCCCCGTGTGCTCCTCCTGGACTACTATTTCCAGAAATCCTGGTCAGCACAGCTAGTGGTAAAGGATTCTGGGAGTTTGAGTCCAAGAATATCTGGGGACCCAAGGCGGACTAAGCTGAAGGAAGGTCAGCAGAAGTCAGCAGAACGGGGAAATAACTGTCTGGCAGTCTAAGAATATTCTCCATGTACTCCTCGTGCTAAGATGTGTTTCGTCTTCAGTGTAAGCTCAGTTGCCATTCCAGCATTAAGTTGGTTAGAGTCCCAGCCCCTACAGTATTTAGGACCAAAAAAGGCCAGCCTTTCAAACCCATAAATGGGTTTTGGTTCATTTCTGGTTTCATTTAGCAAACATGCAAAACCACCCACCCCACTGCCAATAGTTCTGAATTTTCTGGTGATTTGTGCAGTTTCCAGAAGATCCTGGGATTAAAAGATTGGCATCGGACTTCCTCAAAGTTGCCACTTCACTCTTAACATTTATCACAGCACACTGCTCCTGCGTAGATGCTATAAGGAGATGATTTCTGTGATTCTGCTGTTCGGGGGCAGGAATAGCTTTTGCAGTGGGTGATGTCCAGGGAAGTTTTATATATATGGTTCAGGGAAGTTTTATATAGGTAAAATAAAGAAATGTATGTATATATATTTCTTTGTTTTATGACTCTTTCTCCTGGTTTGAAATCCAGCATCACACAGTTAGAGCACAGCCTGTTTCTACCCCTGGAGGTGGGGTGGGTGGAATACTTCAACCTTGAGGGAAAAGCCATGAAAACTAATGTATCATCACTGACTGTTTTGCAGTTCCTTCCCCTACCCACTTAACCCCCAAGGAAACTAAACAGATTCTGATGAAAAAAAGAGAAGCCCCTACATTGCCAGATTAGCAGTTAAAACCCAAGTAAAATTTAAGAAGGGAGAGGATACGCAATTCTCAAGCTATTTCCATTTAAACACAAAACGGAGAGTCAGAACGTAGCCCATAGTATCAAGCGATAACTGCTTGTTTTGACCCATGTGGTCCTTTCTTAAACTGAAAGCAGTGGTTCCCAACCTTGGGTAACTCAGGCGTTCTTGGACCGCAACTCCCTGAAACCCTGGCCAGCACAGCTGGTGGTGAAGGCTTCTGGGAATTGCAGTCCATGAACATCTGGGTTACCTAAGGTTGGTAACCACTGGTTTAGAGTGTTGATGGCTCTTTCTTTTGTACTTTATATTAGTCTGGGGTCATTCTTTCCTATGCTGTCACATCAGATCAACTTAGCTGAAGCATGTTTATAAGACGGATGATATTTCTATCTTGAAAAAGGGGAAGTACAGGGGGGAAATTGCCCTTTTCCTACGCTCCCTGTTTATTGTTTCTGAAAGCACAATGCATGAATGAAGTCAATTAGTGATGTTCAGTTGATACGTGAAACAGTTTGCGAATTATTTTCCAACTCAGATATCCCTGAGTATACTGTTTCCTAGAAAAAGGAGTTAATGAGACCTAAATAAAAGAGGGGGGGGTCCTAGTCTATAAATAAAGTTGATACTCAATACCAGATACAGTGTTTCTTCTGAGGATATCTTAATGTAGTGCTTTTCATTCATTCTAAAGTGAAAAACTTTTTTTTTGGAAAATAATACCTTTTCACATATTGCATTGTTAGGGAGAATAAGCCGCCAAAATCAAAGAAAGCTGGATTGAGCTAGGGGAAGCAATGCCCCAGAATCAGTTTGCGAACAAGGATTAGCTAAAATCTGTTCTTCAAACTATCACTTCTTTCTAAATTTAATCTAGGAACTTTTTCTCCCTCTGTTCTTCATATTCCTGTACTTTTACATCCACTTATCTATTGAGGGGTGAAGATGATGGGCTTCTGTCCTAAAGCCTCATGAACTCTTCTGCAGGGGCACCAGACGCCCCCATTGGAACAAGTAAATACTTAGGAACTCATGCTTGGCTTAAAGCCACATCAGCTAAAACAATAGCGGCAGTCTTACCAAAAGATACTGTATTTGGTTTGTGGGAGTCTCTGTTGAGGAATTTGTCTGGACCAGTGGCACCTGTTAGGAAAAGACACAGCAAGACCCTGCTTCCAATGTGAATATATCCGCCCAGGTTTCTGGTGACCGCTGTGTATGACCACCCTTAATGATTAGACTCGGGGGCTGTATACAGTCACAACAGTGCCTAAGATCAGCATGAAGGTGTAAGTTTCTCCCTTCTCTCTGAAAACATTGTGATAAGGTTTAATTTCGAGAAGTAGCTCACACTCCGGTCTAGAATCTTCTTGAATGAATACCTGAAGGTCACGTTCGAAGTGATGTATAAAAGAACAGAAGCCCCCCAAATCCCACTCCATCTCTCTGTTTTCTTTCCTTTGTGGCTTTAAGCCCCCAAGAAACAAATGGCCAAACAGGCCGATAATGATTTGCTAGTTAAACAAAGCAAGTTTTAAACCCTTTTCTTGCCTCTCCATCATATAACTTAAGCGTGTCCCTTCTTGGGTCAATTGACTTCTCTCAGTTTGGAGAGAAGCTGGAACTGATGCTTTAAATACAAGGCGTTGGGTTCATGGAGAGTCCCTTTTTGAGGAGGAATGTGTTTTGATCCATTCATGCAATAACTGCCCCATAAGGGTGGATGTTTTAGGTACAGAGGCAGTGGTTTTTATTCTTAACTGTGGTGCACATTTTTCACGTAAGTGGCTTTCATTGCTCCTCTACCATAGAATGCCTGTTCAATGTGGTGTGCCTTTTGGAACAAGGGAATTGTTCAAAAGATGCAAAAGGAGTCTCTTCCTTCAGCAGGTCCTCTGTCACATCCACACTTAGATAAAACAGGCACCTCCAGAGCTATTGGGCCTGTTCAAAAGATGCAAAAGGAGTCTCTTCCCTCAGCAAGTCCACTGTCGCAAAACAGGCACCTCCAGAGCTATTGGGCTTTGTGAGCCATTTTGCATGAGTGCGTCCAGGAAGATGTCCATTCCTCCTCTTCAAACCTAGATTGTTGCAGTATAATCAGGAATGATGTTTCTACTAATACTGTATTCATTTTCTTGATGGAAAGATTCCAAGAAGCATCAGGGGTTTTTTTTCAGAAACATTAACTAGGAAACCATTCCCTTACATCAATGGTTCCCAACCTTGGGTTCTCAGACATTCTCGGACTCTGCAGTCCTGGCCAGCACAGCTAGCGGTGAAAGCTTCTGGGAGCTTTAATTCAAGAACATCTGCCCAAGGTTGTGAACCACTGCCTTACATCATAAATGTTGAGCTTTAGTTCTTTAGCTCTGTTTGAACTGTTGTGTGTCTCAATATATTGTGTTTACTTTTGGCAGCTTGCAGATGATCGCATGGCACTGGTATCTGGGATTAGTTTAGATCCCGAAGCGGCTATCTGTGTAACTAAGAGACTACCTCCAAAGTGGACTGATGGAGTGGAAGAAGTAAGTATGTGTGCACATAATAGATACGATTTTATGGTATCCCTCTTTTTGGAAAAGCAGCTATCCAGTTTCCCAGGGGTAATTTATTTACTCAATTAACATAATGATCTTCTGATTGTCAGGAAGGATTGTCAAAAAGGGGAAAAAATCACCGTGAATTGTGATGGAACACAAAACCCAACATTACCGCCATGTAAACAATTATATGCAGAGGAATAAAATTGGCCTAATTAAACTTCTTTCATGGCTCAGATGCTTGGAAGGAGACACACACCTTGCATTACCTGTAAGCCAACAGATTAAAACCACATAGACTTGAACGGAATGGCACAACCGGTTGAGAATACAATGGTGCTCCACTTGACGACAATAATGCGTTCTAGCAAAATCGCTGTACAACGAAATCGTCATCAAGCGAAAGTAAAGAACCCATTAGAATGCATTAAAAACCAGTTAATGCATTCGTCCAGCGAAGATCCTCAGTAGGGCAGCCATTTTCCGGTGCCTGTAAAGTGAGCAATCAGTCCTAAACACAGTGGGGAGCCATTTTGTGACCCGCCGATCAGCTGTTTCAAATCCATCGTTAAGTGAAAAATCGGTTCCCGAAGTAGGGAACCAATCGTCGTAAAGCGGAAAACCCCATAGGAATCATCGTTTTGCGATCACAATAGCTATTGCAAAAAACTCATCGTTAAGCGGATTCATCTTCAAGCGGGGTAATTGTCAAGTGGGGCACCACTGTATATGGTATAATAGCTCAAAGTATTAAAGGGCTGGATGCTCAAGGTTTGCATTCATCCAGCAGGTCTGTGGATGAAGTTGTGTGCATATTTGATGTGGGAATCAGATATGTATTGTCTTAAGGCTGCCACTAGCCGCTCAGAGTGGTATAGATTTATCAGATGGGCAGGATATAAATCAAATAAATAAAATAAAATAAAAATAAATAAAATTTTGTAGTTTGGGATTGTCTGTAGTCTTTTTCTCTATTTGATTTTAAAGAAGTAGCCATGTTAGTCTGTGCAACCGTGTTAGACCACAAAAAAGGTTATGGCATCTTTAAAAAAACACAACTGTTATATTTCACTGCAAGTTCTCAGGCACACCTGAAATAACAATTGTTAGCTTTTTAGGTGCAACGATGATTCTCACTTCGCTTTTGTCTGGTACCCTCCATTTGATTATCTACCATTAGATCCGGTATGAGATCTCCAGGATAAAACAGAAGATGAAAGAACTAGCAAGTCTGCATGACAAGCATCTAAACAGGCCAACTCTGGATGACAGCAGCGAAGAAGAACATGCCATAGAAATAACTACTCAAGAAATTACACAGGTATGCAGGAGGATCCCTTTCGGAAGTGATTCTGGTTTTTTTCTTCTCCAGTTTTCGAGTCCAATTTCCATTTCTACTCGGTGACTGAACGAAGCCAGCACCATAGCTCCAAATGATGCTCTTAAAAGTTCATACCTTCCTTAAACTTGTCCTTTCGATTCTTGAAGTGGCGTATATGAAAAAAAAAAAACCCACAAATCTCTCTCTCTCTCTCTCTCTCTCTCTCACACACACACACACACACACACACACAAACAAACAAACAAACAAACAAACAAGTGGCTTTGGGTTTGCCACTGAAGAGTTTATGTTGTCCAGAAAGTACACACACACACACACAGTGGCTTTAGGTTTGCCACTTAAGAGTTCATGTTGTCCAGAAAATACTGTTTCCAAGATACCTATCCGTTCCACCTATATATGACTGCAGTAAATGCGGCTTCAGCACACTGACTTTATTGTGGAAGGCCACTAAGACATATTGGTCCATGTATAAGGTTTTATAAATGATTAGGTAATAAAAACCCTTTGCATTAGAACTGATTTACTTTGCAGTTGTGCAAGTGGAACTTCTGTGCTGATCTTTCATTAAGAGGAATGGCTTCTCTCTCTTCCTGCCTCCCAGCTATTCCACAGGTGTCAGAGAGCAGTCCAGACATTACACAGCAAGTCTCGAAGCTGTACAGACCAAGAGCGGCGGCTTCTGAAGAACGTTGTGTCTTCCTTAGCCCAATCCCTTCAGGATCTGTCCACCAGCTTTAGGCGTGGGCAGTCGGACTACCTAAAACGTAAGCTGAGAACTAAATGCCATCCTTTCTCCTCGTCCTCTGGTGGCATTTGTCTGATGTCTTGCGCTGCAGAGAAAACGTGATAGTACACTGCCTGCTTGTGTGGACCTTCTTATATGAGAGGATACTAGTTTGGCTGAGCACCCATCCTGTTCATTCTCTGCCTTATGTTCTTTGCATTCCCATAATCTCTATGCAGACAGGGATAAAACAGTGACTGAAAACCTGTTGTTTTTTTTTTAATAGGAGAAGCAGACGGTGTAACATTTACTTGCTTCTGGCCAGCAATTGAAGACTCCCAATTGGACTCTTTAATTGCATCACCATGATGACTCTTTAATTGTCAGATGAAATGACGAGTAAATCTTACATTGTTCACCTTTTGCCTGCATTGCTGTGCAGCAGGTTTTCAGCCAACGATTTAGAACTCAGTAGCTAAGCAAGTCAAATGAGTGTTTTTCCCCCCAAACCTGTGCTAAAGTTGTATATTGAGAGAATACCAATACCTTATCCTCCTATCCAGCTGGAGACCCAGGATAAGTGCTACAGGCTATTTGACTTGGGAACTGTGTTGTCAGCTCAATTGCCAAATCTAAGACATAAGCCAGATCTAAAAGCGCCCGAAGCGCTTCCCAAAGCCCACATTTTCGCCCAGCTGATCGGTGGGACTTCAGGATGATCGGGGGGGGGGAGCGCTTCCCCCCAATCATCCCGAAGCCCGCATTTTCGCCCAGCTGACCGGCAATCTGTTGTAAGCTCCCAAAGCCCTCCCCCCAATCATCAATACGATCGCAAAAGCGATCGTAAAATCTTCATCGCTATGCGGATTCGTCGTTAAACGGCACTGTATTAATGTTTGCTCCAAAAATGCATTAGGGCTTATTTTCAGGGGATTTTTTTTTTCATGTACAACAATCTACGTTAATTCAAATACAGTCATGTCCTCTTCTTCTGGTTGCTGCACAAGGGCGAAGGGCGTGGGTTCACTTCACTGTGGCTTACTCTTCTGGTTGCTGCACAAGGGCAGAGGGTTCGGGTTCACTTCACTGTGGCTTACTTTGGGGTACAGCTTATATTACAAGCATCTTGAAAAATCATACTAGGGCTTATTTTCAGGTTAGGTCTTATTTTTGGAGAAACAAGGTACAAGTTTCTAGTCCTGGGTACCCAGGAAGACTCAAGTGATGTTCAGACATAATTTGTTCTTTAGACAATTGCTTCTGTTGCTTCAGCTGCTGGGTGTATGTGGGTAGGCGGGTGAGACCTTGATTTTTTGCATACCAATAATCATAGAGCAAAGACCAACATGGTTTAAGAAAGGTTGTAATTTAACATCCGTGTTTTCCTCCTCTTACAGGTATGAAGAATCGGGAAGAAAGATCCAAACATTTCTTTGACACTTCCGTCCCTCTTATGGATGATGGCGAGGACACGACACTCTATGATCGGGTAAGTTTGGAAGCCGTTGAGCTGAGCAGGGATCTGTCTGAAAAGGTACACCTATGTTTTCATTCTACAAAAGAATGCAGAGGAGACGTCCTATAAGCACATTTCTGCTAGTCTAGTTCAGTTTCTGTTTATTTACGGATCGCTTTGCTTGGTTCTGGGCAAAGGGAGTCAATTCCCATACAGGTGTATTGGATTTTTAAGGCTGTACAGAGATGCCATCCTGTTGGTGGGCCCTGCAGGTGATGGGGGTCCAACTCTAGGTCATTTGGAGCAGTGAAGCTTTCACTATTTGGAGAGACTTAATGTTGTCCCTGCACAGACCAATACACCATCCACATCATGGACCACTTAAACTTTGTCGTTTGCATGCTGCATATTTGCGTGTTATATGCATTATAATAATAATAATAATATAAGAACCTTTCAACTGCAGAGCTGGAAGGGACCCTGTGGATCGTCAGGTCCAGCCCTTCTCAAGGACGCCCAGTGGGGGAACCCAACTCCACATTCTGGCTCTGCAGCCAGAGACCCAAGCCATCTTTGAGATTTTGGAATCTAAGAATGTATAAATCAATGTGAATAAATACACGTGAGAGGCTGTTTGCGCTTAATCAGAATGTAATAACATGACATAATCCAGGGTAGACCGTCTCCCCCCCCCCCCCCAGGATTCCCTCAAGGGAAAAGTGTCATTGAGAGCTCGTCAGGTCATAGAGGGCCAGGTGAGAGCCAAGTGGCTTCCTTTCCCCCTTTTGAACACTCTACTCTTGCCGTATCCACCCAGGGGGTTGCTAAAGAAAGGCCAATTCCTTGTGTTCGCATTTGAACTGAAAACATAAAGGAAACCATTAGACAGACCGTCCAATGGTTTCCTATGGAGAAAAAACAAAAAATCATCATAAATTAAGGAAGTGTCAGAACAACACCAAAATCAGTTTGCATAGGTTTCAGGAGGTGGACTAACCATTGCAATCATTTAAAACAGCGTCCAAACATTGTAAGACACTTTTACAGGAGCGAAAAAGGACTTCGCAAAGGCATTGAAATGTATTGAGTCGGCTTCAATACATTCCAATATAGGAAACATTGTTTCACTCAACGATGTTTCCTATGGGGATTTTCACTGAACGATGGCAATCCGTTCCAATTGGAACGGATTAACCGGTTTTCAATGCATTCCTATGTGAAATGGTGTTTCACAGAACGATGTTTCACACAACGTTGATTTTTTTGGAACCAATTAACATCGTTGTGTGAGGCACCACTGTATAGTAAATATATATAATATAAGAATCTTATACAGTATAAGAACCCATATACAGTATATATATATACAGTGGTGGCCCGCATAGCGACGTTAATCCATTCCGGATTAATCGTCGCTATCTGGAAACATCGCAATGCGGGAGGGAAAACCCCATAGAAACGCATTAAACTTC